GGGGATGAGATGGGATGGGAGGGAGGGAGGGAGGGAGGGAGGATGCAGCCCCATGTGCTGCCTCCACACAGCGGCTGGAACTCTGCCCATGGGGAGGCTCGAGTGCTGAAATGACCCTGCTAATAAAACAGGAGTTCATTAAGGCTGTGGAAGGTGGCAGGAATGGCAAGCTGGAGCTGGGTGGCTGAAGCCCCTCTCCCAGACCCGCGGGGGCAGATGCCACCCCCTCTGTGCCCGGTGTGATGTCGCATGGCACTGATGGAGCTTTGCCACCATGTGCACCAGCTGGTAACTGGCCTGGGGCACTGCTGATGTAGCAGCTGTAGATCCGATGGCATGTGTTATTTTTCCAAGCATAATATTAACAGAACTTTACAGCTGCCTGACCTTTCTGCTGTCTCCTCCTCTTCCTCCCCTGCCTCCCATTACTCCTGTCGCACCGCAGCCAAGCTGCCCTTGACGTTGGAACTAGAACCTTTGCTTTTGCTGGCCTTGTGTCCTTGCAGCTGTGCATCCTGGAAGCATCATGGGTATAGAAAAGCATGTTTCTGTTGCATTTATTTAAAGACTAAATCCCTACAGGAGCAGTTCAGCAGTAATGCGAGTTTCTGGTTTGGAGCAGGTTCTCCAGAATCTGAGGATAAGCTCTGTGTCCTCTCTGTCGATGAAGCAATTGTCTCTGTAAGACTGCTGCTAATTCGGGGTTCTGGAAGCAACCCTTAGGCAATAACAGAGTGAAACTTTGCTCCATGGAGCAAGTTGTGTGGATGGCCCCTGGGAGAGCCATGGATGCTGGGCAGCTTGTCTGATGGCCATGGCCACACTGTGACAGCCGGGGTGACAAAGCTGAGCAGTGCCTGGTTTGTTGCACAGCTCTGCTCAGAGCAAGGCTCAGCAGCATCTCGGGGCATCCGGCCCGTTGGGTACGCTTGCACTCAGCTGTGCTTCACTGCTGGTATTTCGAGGTCCAAAAGGAGCGAAGAGGGGAAGTGCAAAAATAGAGATGCTAAACCGAAAGCTTTCTAAACACGGCAGCGTGGAGAGAAGGAGGAAAGCAGAGATAGCTTTGTGTCTCAGGTACTGCTGTAAGAGCTCAAATTAGAATCTGCTCTTATGACAGGGTGTACCAAACTTGCCCAAAGCCCTTCAGGCCCAGCCCATGGAAAAGAATCTGGCTGCTCCACCCTCTGCCTTTCCAGGGAGCGTGCCAGGCAGCTCCAGGCTTTGCCAGCCATCACCGTGGCTTTGCAGCACTCCTCAGGCTGTTGAGACCTACGTTGAGGCTTTAACCTGAAATCTCAAAAAAATAGAAGCTTCGTCAGCCTGCTGCAACCAGCAGCTCCTCTGACTGTTTTTAGGTTCTCTGAAAAGTTAAGCTTTTGGAGCAAGGCTCCGGTAAGAGGAGGGAAGTGAACTGTGTTGCTATTAACTAATTAGCAGTCCTGTGTCCTGGCCAAAGCACACACCATGCTACAGCCATTTTTAAGCTGTTACATGCCTGCATTAACTGCTGATAAGGCAGCAAACTAGCCAAGAGCCAAGGAAGAGGGGGGCCGAAGGGCAAGATTCTGTTCAGTCAAATCCCATGTAAAGCTGAGTAACGCCAGCAACTTAAGGAAAATTATTGCGGGTCACCAGTGGCTTAGAATAGCTAAAAAATTCATTCCCCTTTTAGTGCTCAGCTGTTGCTGCTCTTAGAGTCTAGTTTCGAGTGGTTCCCGTCCGAAGAGGTCCCTTCCTAAGGTATTTCAAGCTATTTCTTCCCTCTGTTCTCCACTCTTTTTCCCCCAGCACTTTCTGAAAGCATCGCTCTCTTTGACATGGATTTAATCTCTTTAAGGATTCTTAGTGACTAGCTTCTGCTGGCTTCTCCTTCCCATGCTGCATCCAGTTTTTTCCAGGGCAGCCCAAGGGTGGGGTAACTCGCCCGAGGATGTGGCTGTGAAGGAAATAGAGGCTGAGCTGCCACAAGACACAGGCTGGATTAACAGACAGTAATACACAAATGGGACATTGGCTGGGACACGGGAGACTTTCCAGCAGGCAAAAGCTGTTCTGCCCATGCACGGTGAGGGCTGCCGTGAGCTGCGGTATTTGCTTTGCGTTGGTGTTGCAGCTGGCATGCCGTGTTAGCGTGTGGCTTCAGGAGGAGGCGGCGATGGGCTCGGTGCTTTATGCTGTTTATTTTGCTTAAATCGTCAAAAAACCTTGTTCCAGATTAAGAGCAGCTCCTACAAAGAGGATATAAAGCTTTGTGCTGTCCTCCCAGGCTCAGCAGCGTTTTGAGGTTGCTCAGACTAAGAGGTGGAGCTGTGATATAGATGAGAGGTGATAAATTAGGAAGCTAAACCTACAGGATTATTCAATTTAAGAACAGCCAGCTAGAGATGAGTTTCACTCAACACAAAAAAAAAAAAAGTAGATTCCTTATAGTAATAAGTTACTGTGCTGATCCTTTGCTAACTGCTGACTCATCAGCACAGCTTACTAAGTCTTGTCTTGCTGCTTGTCCTGATTTAACTGTTCATGGAAGCTCATGGATTAAAACGGAGCTGTTCCTTTGAATGAATAAAAAGGGTAGCCAAACCAATGCAAAACATACTCAATTACAATTAGGATTTATTAAAAATGCAGTGGACAAAAAAAAGCAAGCCTCCAAAAAGTAGTCAGTTCATCACCATATATTATTACACCTTTGCCCACCCAGCACCACTGAAACATACAGTGCCATCAGCTCGTTTTTCTTGTGTAATGTTCTGCTGACTCGTGCTTGGTTCATTATCTATAAATGTGCATAGTTTCAAGACTTTTTAATGTAACACGAGCATAAAATGGCACCAAAGTTTGTTTGCCCAAAGCTTCCAGGCACTTTCAACCCAATGAAGTAGTGAAATGTGTGTGGCAGTCATGCTTGTGCTCTGTACTCCCTCGGATGGTCTTGAATCCTCGGTGTGAGCTTTACAGCATGACAGCAAACTTCTCAGAAGCCAAAGAATCATATGCCCCAAAGCATCATTTTCTTACTACTATGTCTAGTTTCCTTTTAGTTGTCAGAACTAGGTAGCAACTGGGTGAAGGCAGGGGCAGGCAGGTGTGTTGTGCGTGGTTGGGGAAGTTACGTGCTTGTGTAAATCAGTTAACCTGGCATGTTACCCACCTCCTTCCTTTTCCAGGCAATTTGTTTCCATGCTGAGCTAGGGAAACTTTCAGGCTATGGGCACAGCAGCTCCACAGATGAAGGTGGGCTCTTGTATTTGCAGGGTCGGGGTGGAGAGCGTTGGTGCTCAGTGCAGCTGTGCTACGTACGCTCCTGGGAAGGAGCAGGAACACCCCTACTATTAACTTACAGATGAGTGATATCAAGGGAATCAGGACTGTAACGCTGAATGTAGGTGTACAAATGTTGTCCTTCCCCTCTCCTGAGCTTGCTCAGCCCCAGCTGTAGCTACTCTGTGTCATGCTATGTGCCCTACCTCACAGTGACAACGAATAAAAAATCAAATTAATTTATTTGCAATAGAAAAAGTGCCCTCTCCAGAAACTAGGGTATAAGATTTGTACACTATAAGCAAATACATTTGTAGTAAAACCTATTGCCTCCTCATCTTAGACCTGTGCTTACTCTAAATGAGCAGGTTGTGCGTGACAGTGGGGTGTGTGCTTTATTGATGCTCACAGTGATTTAACCTTATTTTGTGAGATGCAGTAGCCTCTCGGACATTACTAGAGCTGTCTTCAACAATCTGTGCGTACAGAGAGGGAGAACCCTGAATCATATGCAACTTCACCTTAGCCATAAGCACTAGAAAACAAGTAAACCAAAGTTGACAATACCCTGTTTAAAGCATTTAAATTAACTTTTGAAAAGGATCCATCAGTATTAACCGAGCAATGTCGAGTAATTTCTTGTCTAGGATAGTCAATTATCAAAGCTATTTAATGCTACATGACAGTGGCCACTGGTACATTTATGGGGACACTAAAGTGCCCTTCTGGCTCTTAAAGGCCAAAAGACTTAATGAAAGCAAATCAGGGAAACATGCAGGAAAACACTCTGCCTGAGGCAACAGCAACTACCTTACTCCTCGAGGTGGCTACTAGTCTTTATTTTATCTGTCAGAACTACGCTGGTTGCGGGCTGGTTGGAGTTGCGCTGTAGGATTAAAAAAGTGCAATCTTCTGGGGCTTGGTTTGACATCTATTTCTAAAGTCAGGCCTCCATATATTTGCATGCTAAGGTCAAAATGCTTGGAACATGCTTCTAACATTACAAAAGGTATATTTCAGATCAGCAAAATAATTCTTCCAAACCCAGCAATCCTCTGTTTCTACATCATTTTTTTCAGAGGGCTCAAGGCAGAGAGCTGGGCAGCTGCCTTTTTTTTTTTTTTTTTCTTTTGAAGCCAATATGTGGATGTTTCCCACCTGCAAGGGAAGCAATAGCACTGCAAAGGGATGGGAGCTACCCCTCAGATTCTGGCTGTTCCAGTTACTATCCCTGCTGTATGGTGAGGTTCCCAAGCTGTGTTCTTCTCACAACTAAGGGGGGGACAGAGTGACACAATTCTGAAATCTTAATCCTTGACTTAAAAATAGTTGCCAAATACCAGCACTTTCAGCACTTGCTTAATTTCCAGAGCTCACTGTTGCACGGTGCGATGACAGCAGCTGTGAATATTTCACAGCAAGGAGAGAGGGGGGGAAAAAAAACAACAAAAACCAAAACCAAACCTCTGTGGTATAAGTAGGAATCTTTGCTCAAGCTAATGGTGAGGATACTGAAATGAAGGTAGTGGTAGAGTGGAGAACTCTGTCCTCTAAAAAAAACCACACCTGTGGTTATTATCACCAGGGATAAGTGGCTCCACTGTTCACCCAGGGTAAGGCAAAACTGGAGTTGTAGGGCTGTTGTATGGTCTCCCACCCTACCAGCTGAGCAAAGGGAGTTCTGGCAGAGGCTGAACATGGGCAGCAGTCACCTGGGCGTTTCTGGATATGATCTAGACCCTTGAGAAGTCTCCCCTCTGCCCACCTGTCTTACTAAGCAGCTTCACTTCTTCAATCACAATGTCATGAGTGACCGCTTTGCACATGTCGTACACGGTCAGGGCAGCCAGGCTGGCAGCCGTCAGAGCTTCCATCTCCACCCCCGTCCTGCCCCAGGTCTGACAGGAGCTGTGAATCACCACGGCGTGTCTGGCCTCATCCAGGCTCAGAGACACCTCCACATGGTTGAGGGGGATGTTGTGACACAAGGGGATCAACTGGCTGGTCAGCTTGGCTCCCTGGATTCCTGCGATCTGGGCTACAGCCAGCACATCCCCTTTCTTCACCTGGTTCTGCCTCACCATCCCAAATGCCTTCTCACCCAGGCGGACCACAGCACTAGCAACAGCCCTTCTTCTCGAATCTGGCTTCCCTCCGACATCAACCATCGTGGCCCGTCCTTCCTCATCAGTGTGAGTCAAGGTGTCAGAGGCACGAGGTACCTTGGTGCAAGATCCCAAATCTCTGGTATGGAATTCAGATCCTGGACTTGCCTCTTTGGACTGATAGTCCACAGAAAGTTGGCCAACAGGAGAAGCTTCAAGGCACTTTGTGTCAAATGTGGAGCTTGGGTCCTTGTGGAAGACACAGCAGCCTCGGAGCTGGGTTTGTAGAATTCCTGGCGTTATGTGCCACTGTTGCTCTGGTGGGAAAAGTTGTCCTGTAAGCTTATTTTTCATTAATGCTTTTCCCATTTGTTTGGGTAAACTTGCTCTCAAAGTCAGCCAATGGCTAAATGTGTGGCCCCACTGTTTTGAGTTTGGGGGATTCTGTAGGGCATCTTGGCAGAGTGGGAATGACATCAATGCAGGCTCTGGTGGAGAGAAAAAAAAAAAAAGGTAACATGAGAATACAGCGTAGTAACTGGAAAGCTAAGCTAAGTCAGCAGTAGCTGAGAATCCTGTCAGAGCACCGCTTGGGATTTTCTGTATTGCAAAAACCTCGATACGTCTGCGAACACGCACTTTTCTCCTCAAGCTCTCTCTTCTCTCTCATCAGTTCCCTGCATTTGCTGGTTTGTTATTACAAACCCCAAGAGTCAAAACACTTATTACAAGGTCCCTTACAAGAAGAAACAACTTGCTTTCAAAAAGTATCAACACTTAATGAGAAACTCAAGCCAAGAAAGCTTATAGGAACATGGGTTCTGAAAAAAAGCAAGTCCCAGCATCTCGGCATACATCTGAGATTGTCCCAGAACCAGTCTTCTTTTGAAAGCCTGGCAGAGTTAATAAGGAAATTCTTGCACTCGGATTCTCAACTCTGCCTTTCCAAACACCTTCCTCCCAGCACAGGCAGCTGAACTTGCTGCTTTCATCTCCTTCTGCAGGGAAGGGTCACACCAGCACCTGAGGACAGCAGGGACCAGAAGCGCTGCCTCTGCAACTGCACTGTCTGCAAGCTCAGAGGGTGGCTCCGGGATGGGAAGCTCTCTTATTACTGCCAGCTCTTACCACGTTAATGACAGCTGAAGTTTAAGCACTGGAAAAACCACACTCCCTTCATTGACAGATAGATTTTAAATCTACTCAGAAGTATGTTCCAAGTTGAGCTGGCAGAGCTCCCAGCTGGCAGAGAGGTAGTAAGCCCTCCTGCCCCTTTTCACCATTTAATCCCTCGGTTTTGGCATTTGCACAGGGCAAAATGCCAAGTCTCAAGACAGAAGGAGTCTTTTTCGCATAAAGAAGTGATTTGGTTTGTAAGTAAAGAAAAAGCAGTACAGAGGTAAGTTAAGTGGCTAAGCCCCAGTTTAATAGCCTCATTGATAAGCGTGTTTCTCTTTTTCTGGAGCTCCTGCTCTCTTTGCTCTGAGAAACCTGGAGTTAGGTTTTGCTCAGTAACCTCTGCGGGTACCTCTGGTATTCAGGGAACCACTGCCTCATGAGTTTTCAGACTGGCCAGAGGTGACTCAAAGCAGCTTCCTGGCCCCTCTGCACCCTGCTGCGCTACCTCTGCTGTCCCGACCTCCACCTATCACCTTGGACTGTCCCCACGACAGGAACAGACACAGGTTGTGCTCCCTCTGCCCTCTTTTATAAAAACAAACAAATCCATCTCTTCCTTGTTAGTTCCAGCCTCTGCTGTAACAAGACTGATGAACTGAGCACCTTTTTCATCCAGAGTACCCTCCAAACACTGATCTTAAATCAACCACAGATTTCAATTTTTTTTTTTTTTTAATCACTGCAATAACCTAAATCCAGGCAGAAGCCCTTTTTGATCTAGAGCTGATGGCCTATCCACTAAAATTAAGATTCCTGCAAGTTTAGTGGTAATGTGTTTACCCTCAGAGGAATGGGATTAAATGGACAGAAGTGTTCTGAGTGCAATGTTGCTCTGTTTTAAAAGAGCACAGAAAACTTGCTTATTCCTCCTTTCTTTCCCTCTCTCTTTATTCAGCATGGCCTAACCTGAATATTCCTTTTAAAATGCAGGAACTCAAAGTACTGTGTTCTTCTGGATTCCTTGTCTAGCTTTAAAGCTGAAGCTAAAGCCCTGGCAAGGTGTCTTGTCTTGAGAAGAAGCTGGACTGCAAAGGTAGACAAGTACTTACTTCCACAGGGTAAACACACGTGGATTGGAGCAGGGAAGAGAAGTACTGCTTGCTCAAGCTCAAGTAAAAAGACAAAAACAAACAGTAATGCATGTAAAGCATCTCTGCTTTTCCTAGCAACCTGTATTTTCTTCAAGTTGTACCTAGTGATCTCTATCTTCACCCAAATTGCTCACATACCTACACAAAAATAGAGAATGGTTTTCTACAGCTTTATATCTAATAATGATGTGACAAACTGCGTCTCCTTGTATTCTACAACTGCACCTGAAGTTTAATTGTGTTGGCTTCCAACTGCCACAGTCTCGGGGGAAAGAAGGGAGGAGATGAGATACTTAAAATGAGAAGGAAATTCCCATAAACAAAGTGAACCCAGGAGAACAACCTGCCAAAAGGAACCTTTTGATGAAGGGAAATAGGATACAAACCATATAGCAAAGGATTGGACAACAGCGGTGCAGGGAAGAAGCCAAGTTTGGCTTACTGGGACTAGCAAAACCAATTAGTGATTTCCACAGCATTCATTAAGTTTCATTAAATTAATTCCATGCGCACACCCCCCCACTGACGGCTTGCACGCCAGCATGATTTAAAGTTTTTAAGTAAGTAATTCAAAACACAATTAGGAAATCTCCTTATGATTCCCCATGTGTCACAGTGGGATACTCTCCACTCATGTCCAATCTCTCCACTGATGCGGTGGCTGCCAGCAGTTAGTCTCAAAGGGACATGGAACAGCTGGAGAGGACGTGGACAAGCTGCCTCTTACTGTACATCAGACAATGTTAAAGCACTCTTCAAAGGGGAATTGGATGGATCTGATCTGTAGACATCCAAACATTGCTATGAATGCTAACTTTGGAGAGTGGGGATTCTTTCACAGTCATCTTGAAAAGTTATGTAGGTCCCAGTGAGCCGTCAAGAGTTTAATATAATCAAAACACTTTAAACAAAGGGTCCACTTTCCCCCTTTTCCTGGAACACGATGGAGCAGGGGCCAAATACAAGAGCAAAAGCAAACAGAGACATCTTGCACCACTGAATCCATTCACTTTAAAACTCAACATGGAAAATGATGGCACTCTCAAAGGATGAGAGTTTGGGTTTGAAACACAATGTTCATCTCTTCCACCCTTCCTGCATTTTTTTTTCCCCCTTGTTGATATGAAACACCAGAAGAAGTTCCAATTAATCTCCCAATGCTAACTCTTGCAAGCACTTCTTAAGTCTAAGGAAGAAGAAAAGTATTTGGGAAGATAGCGATCTTACAAAACAGGGAAACACAGGTACAGAGGAGGTAAAAACACGCTGAAGGAGATGTGAAAAATCTGCAAAAGAACCCCAGCAGTGCCACATCGCTCACGCACAGAGCTTCAAGCAGAATGGAGAGTTAGCAAACATCTTCAACAGACACAACAAGGAGAAGAAAGACTCTTGGTCCATAAGGCTGGTCAGATACCACACACTACAGTTCCCATGGTTATGTTCTGAGACTTTGCAGCAATAAGAGGACATTTCAAAAGAATGAAGCCCCAGGTTTCTGATTCTGAAGTAAAGCAGTAGAGAGGTGGGAAAACTTGCATTTCTGGCAGGTTACTGCCTCTATATATTATAAGTGAATTTCTTAATTGAGGGATAGAAGTCCATCCTGCATCATGCCCATCTGGCAATCTGGTCAATTTCTTATAACTCACTCCAAACTGCCTTATAAGTTACCACACTACTCTTGTTAAGTACAGAGGAAGCAGATAGGAAATAAGATAGGAAAGCTCGTGATCCCTTTGTAAAATGTAATGAACTTTCAAAATTGGAAAAAAAATCAGAAGACTGGATAAGGCTTGGAAGGGACATTAAACCTTTCTTCCTCTTCCACTTTAGCATGTTAACCACAACTGCCTTTTAAAAAACCCATTTCTTTGCCTAAACCTAAGCCAGAACCAAACACATTAGCCTTAAAAGCCCAGTCCGCTCTGCTCCCCCAAAGACAAAAACCAACCAAAATCATTGTATGTTTATTACGTACTGATTTGTCACCCACCAATCAGGATCATGGGCCGGTTTTTCATCTGGGAAATGTTAAACATGCCTAGAAATAAAATAAGGAACACATAAAAATCCTATCTTTTTAAGTCATGCATCTGGTTGATATATTTAGTCTTCTGCTCTTCACAGTGCAACCTGCGTGCTGGGAAAACCCAAGCTCAGTAAAGACCAATGGAGCTGGAGGAAGGGGAATCTAGCATCGTATTATTTAAAACCATAGCTGCCAGTCTCCAAACATCCAGCTGCTGTGAGTCTATCACACTGTAGAATCCTTTCCCAACAAGCTTTCCATAATCTGAATTACAGTCTACCTACTACAAAATTCCCCATAGCTTGGGGCTATCTTGTTTCTTAACCATAGCATTTAACTGCACTAGGTCTATGGATAAGCTGTTAACAGTATTCCAGTTCAAAGCGGTCCAATCCCAGAAGGCCCCCAGGGACGATACTGGGATTAACGCAAATTGGAAGAAGAAAGACAATATCAGGTAAATGCTGCTGATGGCGAAATGCCTTTACTCTAGGGGAAAACACTCTTCTCTCCCTCCCCCTGCTTCCCAAATCAGAAATTCAGAAATGAGTGGTCTAAAAGAAAAAGACCTAATCCACCCACCCCTTCCCTTAGGTTTACAAGGCACTAGTTTATCTGGGTCAGACCAATGTACTTTGCAAGTTCGTCTAGGCTCAGATTTAAAAGCTTCCTTTAAATTTGTTTTACACATCATGAAAAATGGGCAAAACCAACTATGATTAATCTGCCAGAATCTGCAAGAGAATAAAAGGGTCAAAGCACATTTTTAGTGAAAAGGGGACTATTCCATGATCATAAAGCCAACTCATGTATGAGAGGTCAGCACTGCCAGTGGCAGCCAGATTACAAAAAATATGAAATATAGTTTATATAAATTCAGAAAAGACTAATACAGCCTGAGGATGTGACTAAATCATCACAGACCTTGGGTCATGACTTTCTGGAGAACACTGCATGAATAGTTACACATTTCTATATACTCAAAAAGGGATTTGTCCCTTCTAGAAACGTGTTAATGCAGTAGTTGGACCAACAGCTCAATTTATGTTTAGTACTTATTTTACAGCAAACTAATTTTAAGAAAAAAAGGGATCCAGTACTCCATCAATTTTCACTTAGCTTTACGCTTTGCTTTTGTTATCGTGAGCAGCGGTATTTGCATCTCTTTGAAGACAAAAGTCAGTCTGAATGACTTTTAGACAGTCTGGATTCTAGTGTACGTGGAAGGTTAGAAGACTCAAAACTGACATCCAGATTTTGGAGTAACTAACTGCAGGACTGTATGTTACCAGCTTTCTACTTTTTTCAGATGGGAAAATTCTTTCCTTAAGTTAATGCAGCTTCATTCAACAAGCTTTTCTTTCTCTCTTTCTCCTGGCAAGTCAATGCATCCCACAGCAGTACCACAACATTATTTTCCCTAGTCACTGCTGCTATTTCTCAAGTACAACAAACATACCGGCATGTTGTTTCTTTTTTCTGCCCACTGCTGCTCCAATGACTTGAACCAACTCTTCCTCTGAGGCACCCGACCGTAGGTGATCTCTCAAGGACACTTCTGAATTCCCAAAAAGGCACACCTGCAGCCAACCCAAAGAAACAAAAGAGGAGAAATAAGAAAAAATAAAAGAAATGTCTTTTAAGTATTTCATAGTGTCCTGGTTTCAGCTGGGACAGAGTTAACTTTCTTCATAGTAGGGTAAGAGGCTGTGTTTTGGATTTGTGCTGAGAAGAAGGCTGATAACATACTGGTGTTTATAGTTGCTGCCAGGACAGTCAAGGGCTTTTCAGCTTCATGCTTTGCTGTTGTCTGCAGGTGCAGGAGAAGCTGGGAGGGAGCACAGCCCCAATTACTGGCTTTAGGATTAAACCTTAGGTTTAAGATTGAGACGCAAATTAGCCAATGGTCTATTCTATATCTTGCACGTCATGGCCAGTATATAAATGAGGGTCTGTCCAGAAGTTCTGTCTCTCTGGGGCGTCACCTCCTTTCTCTCAGGATCATGTCTTGGTCTCTTGGATGCTCAGACTCTTCTCCCTTTTCCAAGATTGCAGTTTCAGGACTCTGCTCCGGAATCATTAGCCAGGAACAGGCTGAGCTTTGGTCATCAGGTGGTGAGCAGTTGCACTGTGTATCACTCATTTGTATATTATTATTACTATTATTATCATTATTCTTTTCAATTTTATTGTAGTTTAGTTATTAAATTGTTCTTATCTCAACCCACGAGTCTCTTCTCCCTTTGCCCCTTTAATTCTCTCCCCCATCCCTGGTGGGAGGGAGAGTGTGCGAGCGGCTGTATGGTGTTTGGCCACCAGCAAGGTCAAACCACAACACACACTAACCTCAGAGTAAAGAGTTTTGAAGAGGCCTATCCTATGGAAGAAAGAGAACATTTATGGAGATTGTTTTCTTTATCTCTCTTCATGTACGCAGAGACAGCCTGGGACATTTATGTAACCTAAGCTCATTGGGCCTTCAGGCTGCCTTGGTCATCTGACATCAGACAGCAGCACAGCTGTTGTCAATATCAGGTGACAATGTGTAAGTGCCAATTTTTAATTGAAAACTTTAATTTTTCCCCAGAAACTGCCAGTTTCAACGTGGCAGGAAATGGTTATCCCTCCTCAACAGCCGCTGAGCAAATGTACAGGCTGCTCTTGAAGAAGAGCTGCAAGAAAATGTTTGGTGAAACAAGACAGAATTCTTGTGGAGCACAAAAGCCAAGCCCTCGCAGCTGCTTGGATCCTTTTTTTAATGGGAAATCATCTGCTTGTCACATGTTTAAGATGATTTTGAATCAAAGATTAAAATAAATGTTTATATTTACTGGCCTTGTGACCATGTTTTACAACTGAAGTTAACTGTCAGCAAAACAGAAACCAAAAAAAGGTGATGTAACATCTCCCTAACAGCTCAACAAGCTTGAACATATAGATAAACAGGAGTCAGCTGGTAATAATTATACATCTTTCCATCCTACTTTACATCCCGGTTACTTTTAAGGGAAGAATTTCAACACTGCTTTTGCTGTATGAAAGCAAAGAGAACCATGTTTTACTACCAACCTTTAGGTTCCCATCTGCTGTTATCCTCAACCGATTGCAGGATCCACAGAAGTGCTCCGACATGGAAGTGATAAAGCTGATTTGTCCCTGGAAATGTGGCACCTTATAACTCTAAAGAAATGCAGAGAAGAAAAAAAAGAGCAGAGTCAAATAAAAGACTCCTCATTTTTAAAGCTCCACTTGCGCAAAGACTAGAAGACATTTTAATACTGATTTCCTTCAGTTCTAAAGTCACACGAGAGAAAAAAAGCTAAACCAGCTTTGTCAGGGGTTCCAGTCTATTCTGCCCTGTTCCTGGAAATTCAAGAACTTGTTAAATGTTTGGTCTTGTAGTTATCAACTGACAGGCGATGCCAGTAGGCACGTTCTCACTCAGGCAGCCACAAGCCCAGATTCATGTAGGCTAGAAATCCCCCACGTGACACTGCAGACTCTAAAGCAATACTGTTATTTCACTGGATAACTGTCTCATCAGGCTTGTTAATGTGCAGCCACAGACTGACAAAAGTTTCAAAAGTAAATAGAGGACACAAGCCTGCCCTTCTTTTTATCTGAGGCATCTAGTAAGCACATTGTATTTCTAAAGGTAAAGACTATGACCAGTATTTACGAAGAGTCAGACCACATGCAGGCAGCTTGACCAAAATCCCAGAGTTACTACACTGAGTATTTCTTACTTCGCTTGTTGAACATAGCTCCTGAACGTGGGAGAATTGGGGTATTTAGGGCAGGGAAAGCATGAGGGCACATTTCGCCTGTTCTTTGTCTAACCCCACCTTGGCTGTGCTGGAAATTTCACAGGGTAATTTCTCCAATTCAGGCCACTGTTGTTTAATTGTATCAAGCATTTCCTTGTAGCTCACCATCTTCTTGAAGTTCCATTTATTGCCTACGATTAACAAAACCAGCATAACTTTAGGCTGTGGATTTTATTTTTTTTAATTAGCAGAAAACCACCTTTACATTCTCCACAAATCTCAGTTTTCCCTGTAGGTGTCCCAGCCCCAATTAATCCTGCTACTAATCCTTCTCCATCTTATCCAAGGAAGACAGATAAGCTGCAAAAGATACAATATAAAACTTAAGGCAGTTCTGAATTCCCAAAAAGAGCTCCCCAAAACTCCCAGAGACAAGCCCACAGGGTGAATAAGCACCAACCAGATTCACCTGTGTCCAAGGCACACTCCATGCCATGAAGAATCTCAAAGCAGGACTGCTTACCATCAAAGGGCATGTATTCTATGAACCGCACATCAAGGGGCAGATCCTTGGTGAAATCCACAAAGCCCAGCAGTTCATCCTCATTGAAGCCTCGCATCACCACACAGTTTACCTACAAGAAAAGCGTACACCTGAAATTACTGAGCAGAGTAGGACTTTACTCCCTCCTACACAAGGTTTCACAGTCCTTGCAGAAGGCAACGCAGATGGAAAGAACACTTTTTTTTTTTTTGAAAGAAACTATGAGAGTTGTCAGGATTGCAATGGTATAGGCAATAATTTCTGCCAAACTTGACTGTAAGTTTTCGCATTACACCTAAATAAAGTTGTTAAAGTTGCCTTGATAAATGGAAGACTAATAGAAGTGAGGTGACAAAGGTATTGTCTTATCCATGTGAGGTTTTGCAGTTTTTACTGTCTAAAATGACAACTCCACTCTCTAGTCCTATGTTGTATGACTTCTGTAATAGTACCGGCAGGGCACCTTCTATAGCACTCTTTATGGCAGATTGTAGGCAAACTCCCCAGACCAGGAGATGTTCACAGTGCACTCCATAACCACAGACTGCAGTATGACCCGCTCTGCTTTCCTCCAAAAAGAGGTTAAGACTGAGTTTTCCATGCATTCCTCAAACAATATTTACCTTGGAGCATCAGGTCCTCTGTGCTTTATCTGAAGAACAACAGAAGTTGCTAAAACACTCCCTGTTAGCAAGGCAGACTTGGATGTCTGAGCATCATGCATGATGATTCTTACGATGTTTAGGAAAGTCTAAAATCTAGTTTAATTTCAAGTGTTTTTAATAGCTCTATAGCCTAAACCACTGACACATAGCAGAGCTTCCACAACACTGGTGAAACTGAAGGGAACAGCAGCTGCAGAACTGCAAACAGCCAAGTTCAGTTTTACCAAAAATTATTCACAGGGTGGTGATATAATAAATTCCTCCTCAGGTGAGCTGTATCTTTATCACAATTTATGGTAAAACACAAGTTTCAGAGTAAATGAACAGTGTCTTTACCTTAACAGGGCGGTAGCCAAGTTCAGTGGCTTTGTAGATTCCTTCCATCACTTTGTGAAAGCCTAAGATATAAAAAGAATAAAAATTTATTTTTCTTGTTTACAAACAGACTGTAAAAGGAGATTATTAAGTGCAAGACAAAAGGATGACAAATAAACCCCAATCTGATTCAGCAAACAGGGCTGCAAGTAAGAAGAGCTGCAAGTAAAGAGACTTCAATTCTATAC